AACTTTTGCACATGCAGCCTAGGTAGACTGCCCAGGTGAGCTTCCTTTGTTTAGAAAGCCTGCCAAAATCCTTGGAAAGAGGGGCTCTATTGCAAGTCAGGCAGCCAATCCAGCATCAGAGTTAAAGGTCAATAACTTCAGAGGAAGTTTGGAAAAGCTCCTCTCACTGGACGAGAACTTGAATGGGGCAGGAGTAACTCTGGGGTTAAAATCCCCTCTACTCCCTTACCTATATGGATTTCCCTCTCTAGGATCCCCTCTCACGTGGCGTGGGAGCCCTCTCTCTGTATATATATTTCTCTTTCTCTCTCTCTGCATAATAAATCACTTTTCTGCAAAGCTCTTTGGGTCCAATATCTATTTGAACAATATCACCATGCCGCCAGGGTCTCATACCCATTCTTGCGTGAGTGAGAGCCCAAGGACCTGGGAAAAACACATCTGATCAGGGAACAGTGAGTGCCCTTTGGGACGCCCCTGCAACCTGTTCCCATGCCCCAGTTACAACATGCTGCAGTTTCTATCCGCCCTGTGACTTTGCAGCTGGTCAGAAAGAAAAACAGGAATTTCTAGATGCCTGGGAACTTTGCTGAGTATGTGGGGAGGATAGATATAGGTTAAATGATTTGCAGGAAGGCAGTTTAATATTCTACCTTAAACAGAGCTGGGGAGATATTACAACATATAACACAGCAAAATTTACTTTATTATATAGCAACTACAAATTACGAGGTTTTGTTTGACTATTATTGTTATTATTTAATTTTCTTCTTTAGTATTAGCGTGAATGAATTCATCTCAGGGGGCCCATAGAGCTTCCTAGATGAGGAGTCTTCAAGTAGAGGGTTAGCCCTCAGTCTCCGAACCTCTCACGTGGAGACATCTCACCTGCCCGACTGCTTTGCCTATACACTTCTCTGACAAGAAGACAGAATCCTGGAATTGTAAAACGTCAGAGACAATAGGGACCTCCCCCAGTCACTTCATTTCACAATGAGGATCTAGGTGCAGAATGAAGTGGGGACCCTCTCTGACAGCTGCCCTGGCTTGGGACCCTGAGATAAGATCAGGGTCATTGACTAAGGGCTTTCTGAGACCTGTAAGGCCAGGTTCCTGCCAGCAGCTCAAGAAAGAGAAAGCTGTACCATTGATGCCAAGGTGTTAGGCAAGCAGCCTGGCCCACTGTTGCAACAGGCGAGGTTCAAACTCAATTCAGTCAGTTCTGATAATCTCCAAATTACTCTTTAACTTCCTAACGACCTGAAAACAGTGACTTAGGCTCTTCAGACAAAATGATATGGAACCTCCATATCCTCTCTGGGGTGAGCTTCCTTACCTATGAGCTTCCCCTTGGCAGGGAGTTGGAACTGTCCACACTCTGCTTCCCAGAATCACTCTTTCATTGCTCAGGGAAACCATAGTACTTGGTATCCTCAACTCTCCCCATCCTTAGAATTCAGTCAGAAACTGTCTGTGGGCCAAATCCAATGAACTGAAACTTGTCCCCTAGTTTTTAATGGATGAATCCTTATTTCATATTCATTCTTACCTCATTCATTAACCCATGCTCATCCATTCATTCCCTCCTTCCTTGGAGATGCCCCATCTATCCATTCACTACATATTTATTGGGCACTAACTGGCAGAAATATTGCTAAGATCTGGGATTACAATCATGAATGAGATAGACACAGTCCCTGCCCTCTTGCAGTTTATGGTCTCCAAGGTAGTTATACACGTATTTCTCATTTTACTGTGCTTTGCTTTATTGCACCTCACAGATACTGTGTTTTTGACAAATTGAGGGTTTGTGGCAACCCTGCATCGAGCAAGTCTGTTGGTGCCATTTTTCCAGCAGTATGTGCTCACTTTGTGTCTCCGTGTCACATTTCGTCATTCTCACAATATTTCAATTTTTTTCATTATTATCATTATAGCTGTTATGGTGATCTGTTAGTATTGTAATTGTTTTGGGGCACCATGAACTGGGCCCATATACGATGTAAACTTAATTGGTAAATGTTGTGTGTTTTCTGACTGTTCCACCGACCAGCTGTTCTCCCCTCTGTCTATTGCTCCTTGGGCTTTCCTATTTCTTGAGACACCGCAATGTTGAAATTAGGCAAATTAATAACCCTACAATGGCATCTAAGTGTTCAAGTGAAAGGAAGATCTGTACTTTAAATCACTTTAAATTTTACTTTACGTCACAAGCTAGAAATGATTAAGCTTAGTGAGGAAGGCCAAGATAGGCTGAAATCTAAGTTCGTTGCACTATGCAGTTATCCAAGTTGTAAACGTAAAAGAAAAGTTCTTGAAGGAAATTAGAAGTGTTGCTCTAGTGAAAACATAAATACAAGAAAAACAGCTTTATTGCTGATGCGAAGAAAGTTTTAGTGGCCTACATAGATCAAACCAGCTACAACATTCCCTTAGCCAAAGCCTAATCCAGAGCAAGGTCTTAGCTCTCCTCACTTCTATGAAGGCTGGAAGTGATGAGGAAGCAGCTGGAGAAAAGCTTGAAGGTAGCAGAGGTTGGTTCATGAGGTTTAAGGAAGGAAGCCATCTCTGTAACATAGAAGTGCAAGATGGAGCAGCAAGTGTTGATGAAGAAGCCGCAGAAGTAATCCAAAAGAGGTAGCTAAGATAATTTATGGAGGTGGCTACACTAAACAACAGATTTTTAATGTAGCTCAAACAGCCTTACATTTGAAGAAGAGATTATCTAAGGACTTCTCTAGAGCAAAGCCAATGCCTGGCTTCAAAGCCTCAAAGGGTAGGATGACTCTCTTGTTAGGGGCTAATGTAGCTGGTAACTTTCAGTTGAAGCCAATGCTCATGATCATTCTGAAAATCCTAGGGCCCTTCAGAATTATGCTAAATCTACTCTGCCTCTACTCTACAAATAACAAGGCAAGTTGTGGTGGCTCATGCCTGTAATCCCAGCAGTTCAGAAGGCTAAAGCAGGTGGATAGCTTGAGCCCATAGGTTGGAGCCCAGCCTGGGTAATGTGGTGAAACCCTGTCTCTACAAAAATTACAAAAATTAGCTGGGTATGGTAGTACATGCCTGTGGTCCCAACTACTTGGGACGCTGGTATGGGAGGATCACCTGAGCCTGGGAGGTTGAGGCTGCAGTGAGCTAAGATCATGTCACTGCTTTCCAGCCTGGGCAACATAATGAGACCCTCTTTCAAAACAAACAAACAAACAAACAAACAAAACAAAGCCTGGATGGCAGCACATCTGTTTGCAGCATGGTTTTCATAATATTTTAGGCCCATTGTCGAGACCCACTGTTCAGAAAAAAAGATTCCTTTTATTTTCATTTTTTTGCTTTTTGAGACGGAGTCTTGCTCTGTCACCCAGGCTGGAGTGCAGTGGTGTGAGCTCAGCTCACTGCAACCTCCACCTCCCTGGTTCAAGCAATTTCCCTGCCTCAGCCTCCCAAGTAGCTGGGATTATAGGCGTGTGCCACCATGCCCAGCTAATTTTTTTGCATTTTTAGTAAAGACCAGCTTTTACCATGTTGGTCAGGCTGCTCTCGAACTCCTGACCTCGTGATCTGCCTGCCTCGGCTTCCCAAAGTGCTGGGATTACAGGTGTGAGCCACTGTGCCCAGTCAAAAGATCCCTTTCAATGTATTACTATTCATTAACAAAGCAACTGGTCACCCAAGACCTCTGATGAAGATGTTCAAGGAGATAAATGTTGTTTTCATGCCTGCCAGCACAATATCCATTCTGCAACCCATGGATCAAGGAGTAATTTCAACTTTTCAGTCTTACTATTTCAGAAATACATTTCATAAAGCTATAGCTGTGATAGACGGTGATTCCTCTAATGGATCTGGGCAAAGTAAGTTGAAAACGTTATGGAAAGGATTCACCATTTTAGAGCAACTAAGAACATTTGTGATTCCCGAGAGGGAGTTAACATATAAACATGAACAAGAGTTTGAAAGAGGTTGATTCCAACTCTCATGGATGACTTTGAGGGGTTCAAACCTTCAGTGGAGGAAGTCACTGCAGATGGGTGGAAGCAGAGAATTCGAATTAGAAGTAGAGGTGGAAGATGTGACTGAATTGCTCCATTCTCCTGATTGAACTTAAATGGATGAGGACTAGCTTCTTATGGATGAGCTAAGAAAGTGGTTTCTTGAGATGGAAACTACTCCTGGTGAAGATGCTGGGAACACTGTTGAAACGGTAACAAAGAATTTAGAATATTACATAAACTTAGTTAATAAAGCAGCAGTAGAGTTTGAGAGGACGGATTCCAATTTTCAAAAAAAGTTCTACTGTCGGCAAAATGCTATCAAAGAGCATTGCATGCTACAGAGAGAAATCTTTCCTGAAAGGAAGTCAACTGGTGTGGCAACCTTGACTGTCTTATTTTAAGAAATTGCCATAGCCACCCCAGCCCTCAGCAACCACCAACCTCATCAGTCCAGGGTGACGATAGGAATCGCTGAAGGTTCAAATGATTATTAGCATTTTTTAGCAATAAACATTTTTTTAAAAATTAAGGTGTATATATATATATATATTTTAGATATAATGCTTTTGCACACTTAATTGTGTATAGTCTCAACATAACTTTTATATTTCCTGGGAAACAAAGTTCGTGCCACTGACTTTACTGGGGAGGTTTGAAACTCAACCCGCAATGCTTTCGCGGTATGGCTGTAATTGTGACGATGCTGCAAGGAAGAGCAGAGCATGAAGGGAGGTGGGGGTCGGGAAGACCACACTTACTCAGCGGAGGCCTGGAGGACCACAAGACCCAGTCAGTGTGTTGTGTGTGGAGGTGCTAGTGGCAGAAGAGAGGGTGCTGTCAGGGGTTGCAGCAGGGTGGTCCCAAGGTACCAAGAGCATGCCCACCCTGGGGCCAATGAGCCTGCGGAGTTGGAGAAGCGGAGAAGTCTTCACAGGGTGCAGAGCTGGCGGGCTCTGTGCACGTTCGGATTTTGACACATCCGCTGGCACTGAACCCCTCTGATGCCAGCCGGCCCAGCCACGCTTGTGTCCAGGGCCAGCCCACGGGGGCCACGCAGGGCTGCCGGATGGACAGGCAGGGAATACCTTCCTCGGGCGGAGGCTGGCTTGTCCCTGGGGAGTCGGCCCAAGCGACTGCCCTCCTCTCCCTCCCCAGGGGCTGGAGACCTGCAAACCAGCAACCCAGCAACTCAGAGCCAACACCGGGAGCGGGCGGCACGCCCCCTCTTCGCCCCTCAGTTCTGGGATCTGTCACGATGGTGGGCGAGGGGGCCAGATAGGACCAACGACACACGGAGGCGGCCTTCAGCCGGCCAGAGGGGCCCTCGGGAAAGGCGCGGATGCACTTCCGGTCCCGGCGACCGCCGGGAGGCGCAGCGCGGGCTGCGCGTTGCTGACCTCTGGCGGTCGCCCTGCGGGACTTCGCGTCCTGTTTACGTCCGGGCGCGGAGTGTGTCAGTTTGGCGGTAGAGCCATCTGTAAGGGCGAGGGTCCGGGCCGCGGGGAGGACGCGCCAAGAACGCTGCTTTCTTCTTTCCCCATCGCAGCTGTTTCCCACTCGCGTGCTGAGCCCATCACCACCACTCTGCTCACGCCCCTGGGAGTTTTCACAGCGTAAGCCCGGCAAGAGCATCGTTTTGGTTGTCCTGCAGCGTTTTGGGGTACTCCTTTATTGCTAATCTTATTCGCACCTTCCATGGTGGGCAGGACAGCGAACTGAGTTTTTCACACTGGGCCCTAGTGTTGTATTTGACCGGAGCGTAGAAAGTTACCACAAGACAGAAGTATGCCAGATTGCAGGGTCATTTATTATGCCGGCGACCACAGAGGACTCACGTCTCTCCAACCTGTGGTGCCAAAAGGAGTGTGCCATGATTTTTTTATACCCGAAAAACCACCTTGGTAGTGGGGGTGAGGGGCGGGGATGGGGATGAAAAGGCTTCAGACATTCCGAGGGCTAGTGGATTCTGTAAATTACCTCCTGGGCAGAGATGAGGGTGGGGGTCTCCGGACATTCCAAGGGCCAGGGGACTTTTGTCATTCCGTTTGTTACTTAAGTGGTTTACAGAAGTCAAGATAAACATTTGTTTACACATTATCTGGTTAAGGTGGAAATCACAGACCTTAGTTACTTATTACAAGTTACAGGAGCCAGGATGGAACTAGCTTGGGCTGCTTAGTCTGGCAATTGCCGGTAAGCAAAGGCTAGCAATTCTGGCAGTTACTGATAAGAAAAGGTAAGCAGCTTTACATAGTTTTGAAGAACAAACTAGCAGTTCTATTTACAGAGGCCAAGGACAGTAGTTATTGTGAGGAGAATGGGGCAGCCATTTTAACTTATCTAAAAACAGTTTTGCATTTTATAAAATAGTTTTGCTCCGGTTCTGGCTCTAGGCCAGCACAATATCACACTAGTGGGCCTGTGTTCCCGTACGATGTCATGACTTCTGATTCAATAGATGGCCTAGAATTTTGAGCAACTGGATGCTGACTTGAGGATTCTGTTTATCTGCTGTGGTTCCTTTACTGGTGTTCTCCAGTCTGGATGCATCAGATCTCCCCTAAGTCTTGTTTGCCCACTTTTCTAACTCTGGATGGTACTGGCTGTTCCCTCAGTATGTGCCACCTCTTGTTCACTGCCTCACCCCCAGCAGTAAGCAGTACCATCGAAATGGAAATACAGGGGAGAAACTATTTCACTCTGCCTTTAGAGCAGGTAATAATCGTTTCACTTAGGGCTTATTTATGTTTCCTTTTTCTTTCTAGCTTTCCAGGTTCCTTCTGTTTTCCCGGAGGGGAAGGAACCCTCTCCATGGCAGCCTGGGTTCTTGACAGCCTGGTTCAAAGTTCACTATGCTAACTCCTAGCCTGCATCACACATGCCAGGTTGCAGTAAAGCCAGTGTAGGACATAAAAGGCAAACCTGGGTTCTTGTCCCAACTCTGCCAATTCATGGCATGACCCAGAACATTTTGTTTTACCCTTCTGGGCCTTTATTCTGATGTGCCAAAACAGGAGATACTGAATTCGAGGTACTTGCCAGCAGTGAGAAGCTGTTATAAAGGTATTGGGTTGTGCATTCACTAATTTGCCAAGAGATATGAGGGAATATAGTGTGAGAGGGTGGAGGGATAGGGTGGGAATTGGAATGATTGGCGTTGAGCTTCTAGCCAGTGAATGGCTCTATGCTGATCATTCTCATCGCCACGAAGACCATCACCATTCTTATTTTGAGGACTTACCTTGAGCTAACTATGACACTAAATTCACATATTTTGCTGTTTAATGCTTATATCAATCCTTGTGGGTTCTCCCTAAGACCATTCCCACACTCAGAGATTCTGTAGAAGAACTCAAGGGACTCAGAATACAGTTGTAATCATGACTAAGATTGATTACAGCTGGATTGCTGGTCCCCAGCCCCTTGGGATGGTGGGGAGGGCAGCCACATGGGCTGAATTCCCAGGTGCAAGCCAGCCTCTGCCTGAGGAAGAGCCAGTATTCTCTGCCTGTCCATTTGGTGGGATACATAACCAGATCATAAGGGAAAAAGACATAGGTGGAGTCTGGAGGAATCTTATGTGCAGGTTTCTGAGTTCTTTCTCCCTGCCATGAGAGATCACACAAAGCCTACTCCTCCCAGCAATGAAAATGCAGCAACATATGGGCCATGTTTCTACCCAGGGAACCACAGCAATTAGTCAGTGCCCAGGGTTTTTATTGGGGGACTGGTCATGGAGACACCTTCTGCCTAGCATGTACCAAAATTCCAGACTCCTAGAAGGAAACCAGAAGTTCATTATAAATCATGTTTTTACAAATAGTCAAGGTATAATGAACTACTCTCATTGATTAAATGTTGACTGGATGCACTTTGAAAGTGAAGTTCCCAGATACTAGCCAGGGGCCTACCTTGCAAGCAGGCCTTTTTTTGGTCTCAGATTTGCTATGTTAGTGATTTTATGCAGCAACCATATGAAGCAATAATGCCCTCATTTAATAGAGGAGAAAATTGAGATTTCAGGGGCTAGTAACTTGTCTAGAGTTGCACCACTAGCAAGTGATACAGCCAAGAGTCTAATCAGTCTGTTTACCTCAGAACTTGAGCTCTTCATCCACTGCCATAGTGCCAGTCCAGGGCCTTCCTTAAGTCCTTTTTCCTTGTTCTTTCTGCCTGAAATGTTCTTTCCTTAACTTTTTGCATGACTGGTGTGGTTTGGCTGTGTCCCCATCCAAATCTCATCTTGAATTGTACTCCCATAATTCCCACATGTTGTGGGAGGAACCCAGTGGGAGATAATTGAATCATGGGGAAGTTTCCCCCCTACTGTTCTCATGGTAGTAATTCTCACAAGATCTGATGGCTTTGTAAGGGGAAACCCCTTCTGCTTTGTTCTTATTCTCTCATCTGCCACCATGTAAGATGTGCCTTTTGCCTTCTGCCATGATTGTGAGGCCTCCCTAGCTGTGTGAAACTGTGAGTCCATTAAACTCTTTTTCCTTTGTAAATTACCCAGTCTCGGGTATGTCTTTAGCAGCACTGTGAAAACAGACTAGTACAACTGTTTTTTTTTTTTTTATTTATTCATTTCTTTAGAGATAAGATCTCACTACGTTGTCCAGGCTGGCCTCCAACTCTTGGCCTCAGGCAATCTGCCTATCTCAGCCTCCCAAGTAGGTGGGACTGCAGGCATGTGCCATATGTCTTGCTTGGTTTCTTTAAATTATTCATGTCTCAACTCAGATTTCAACTTATAAAAAGGCCATCCCTGACTGCTGTATGTAAAGTAGTCTCTTTTAAAGTTACTTTGTACCATTACCCTATTTTAGTTTCATCAAAACATATATCATTATGTGAAATGATCTAGTGTCTTTGTTTATTCTCTGTAAAGTCAATTTTCGTCTGGGCATAGTGGCTTGCACCTATAATCTTAGCACTTTGGGAGGCTGAGGTAGGTGGATCATCTGAAGTCAGGAGTTTGAGACCAGCCTGGCCAACATGGTGAACCCCATCTCTACTGAAAATACAAAAATTAGCTGGTTGTGGTGGTGCACACCTGTAATCCCAGCTACACAGGAGGCTGCCTCAGCTTTACCTACAGTTGTCTTGGTAAATTCCTTTACCACCTACACCACCAGCCCCAGACAGTTGCTATCTGTGACAATCAGCTTTCCTGAGTCAGTGTGTGGTGGCACCACAGTAAACTCTTTAAAATCAAGGACTATGTCTTGTCCATTGCTGTATCCTCAAGACTTAGCACATTGCCTGGCACATAGTAAATGCTTTATAAATGTTTGTTGAATGGACAAATAATTCTCCAATTCCATCTCTGATTACTGTTTCAGGCATTCAGTCTTATTTTTGAGTTGAGAACACTGGGGCTCAGAGGTGAGAGGAACTCTCCCTTGGGAACACATTTATTAAGTGGTAGAGCCAAACATTTAATACAGCCAGTTTGTTTGTGCCAGCTTTACTGCTAAGTGGGTCAGAGAAACCTAAAATGGGAGAAATTGGAACTAGAGAAACAAGTTGTCCATATGCAGTTCCATAGTTCATATCAATAAGTAATTTAATGCAGGCTTAGCATATACAAGGTAGTATCTTAGTCTTAGGGAGATAAAGATCAATTGGAGTTTTAAATCATCCTTCAAGGATCTCATTGATTAAATGGGATAACCACTTAATATCAAATGTACAAACTAAAGCACTATGAGCCAAATGCCAGTGGATTCTGAGAGCACTGTTGCATTTTGTTGGGGAAAGGGAACAGGGTCAGAAAGGGGTTTATAAAAAATAAGCCATTTGAGTTGGGCTAGTAAGGATATATAGGATCAGGTTGTGAATGGAAAGGTAAGGTATTTCAGGCAAATACTGATGAGGATTTTTTGCTTCTTAGTTCAGCTAAAATCTGAGTTTTTGTCTCATGACCAGGAAAAATTAGGCACATGGACACATTGAAAGGTGAGGAGAGTAGAATTTATTGAAAGGAAGCTCTCAGCAAAAAAAAAAGGGGGTCTTGCCAACAGGCTTCCACCTCACAGATTGAATACCAGGCCCCCCACACAACGGCTGAGGAGGCCAGGCTTCTCCCCACTGCATAAGGTGTGAATTCCTGGTGGCTACACCCCATTGTCCCAGTGCACAGGTAGGCCCTTAGTCTGAGCCACTCCACATTGATTTATTTCTCTTACTGCACATGCATTAAGTGACAGAATTTTTCACCATGGGCATGTTTAGGCAACCCCCTGTACACAATGACCTGAGCAGCATTTGGCTGTCTCATTTCTATCAACTCTATAGAGAAAGGCATCTAAAGAGCTGGTGAGATATGCTTAAAGAAGAAAGTCCAGTTCATCTGATATATCAGTGCAGGTACAACTTAGGCCGGCCTGAAGCCTAGAACTCCAATGAACATGATATCCAGGAAACTGACCTTCAATCCACGTGCACACCAAACCCTCAAGAAAATATTAGGGTTGTTAATAGTTACAGTAGCCCCACCTTGTCTGCAGGGGATACTTTCCAAGATCCCCAGTGGATGCCTAAAACCATGGATAGTACTGAACTCTATATATACTATATATTTTCCTGCATACACACACACACACACACACACACACACACACACACACACACACCCCCATACCCATGATAAAGCTTAACTTATAAATTAGGCACAGTAAGAGATTTACAAAAATAATTCATAATAAAATAGAACTATTTTAACAATATGCTGTAATACAAGTTATGTGGTGAATGTGGTCTGTCTCTAAAAGTACTTTATTGTACTGTACTTGTGTACTGTACTGTATTGTACCCTTCTTGTGATCTGTCAATATGATAACTGTGACAGGTATCAAGTGACTAATGGTCAGGTAGTATATACCGCATGGATATGCTAGACAAAGGGATAATCCACGAGCTGGGTGATGTGAAAGGAAAATAACAACTTGGGACCCAATTCACTATGCCGAAAGGAAAAAGTCAAGCTAAAAGCTGAGTCATGCAAGAAGCTGCCTTTCCTTTTGTTCCTAAGGGGATAGCTACAAATAAAAGGTAAAAATCTCCACAGGTAGCTACTGCATGTTCACCTTATCTTATGTAAGCTGCAGATTTACTTAGAGTGAGATGAATACATAATTAAATATTCCCCTATCTACTTCTTCTCTCTTATAACCTGTGGATTCAGTAATGACCTCTCTTTCCCCTGCAGCCTGCTTTTCCCCTTTAAATATTGAACACTTCAACGTCACCTTTGGAAAAAGACACAGACCTGTCTTCTGGGTGTGTCCTTAACCTTGGCAAAATAAACTTCAGAATTGATTAAGTCCTTTCTCAGATACTTTTGGTTTACAGTGGGATGAAGCAGGATGGTGTGAGATTTCATAACACTACTCAAAACAGTATGCAATTTAAAACTTATGAATTATTTTTGGAATTTTCCATTTAATATTTTCAGACCATGACTGACTGTGGATAACTGAAACCACAGAAAGTGAAATTGCAGATAAGAGGGGACCAATGCATTTGCAAGTGTGAACAATGTGATCTTAATGCCATGGTTTCTAGAGTAGCTTGGATAGTGTAAGTTCCCCCACTCCCTGCAACCCAAGGCAAGGAGAACTTTGTAAAATACTTGGTTGAACTTCCTCTGCATTCCACTGCAATCAAGCAGTATCTTCAGCAATAATGCACCTTCATGGGGAATTTGAGGGCCAGGAAAGCTTGACTTTCCATGAAGAGACTGGAGTAGTATCCTTTGCCCGTGTATGATGTCACCTTCCTGTCGATCACTATCATCCTTGTGACAGTTGTGCAATAGGATCTGGCAAATAGCTGGAAGATGGCTTGGTGCCTATTCCGGGTGTCTTGAATTCATCTGAGGCATGGATCTCATTTGACAGGCAGTGGAGAACTACTGAGGACTTCTGAGCAGAGAATTTGGTGGAAGAGGAAGCACCAAGAATCCATCTCAACCACTTAGGGAGCGTTGTACTGGCAGAACTGTCTAAAGTGACTATTTTGTAACTCTGGGATCTATTTGAATCCTTGCGCTGAGTCAGTTCCTGGTTGGCGGCCACAACACCCAGGTTGGCGGTTTTTTATCAGTCAAAGCTGAGCGAGTTTATCGATCTGGGTGATGCCAGCTGATTCATCAAGTGCAAGGTCTGCAAAATATCTGAAGCACTGGTCTTAGGTTTTACAACAATGATTTTATTCTCAGGAGCAATTTGGGGAGGGTCAGAATCTTGTAGCCTCCAGCTTTGTGACTCCTAAACCATAATTTCTTTTCCCTTCCTTCCTTTCTTCCTTCCTTCCTTCCTTCCTTCCTTCCTTCCTTCCTTCCTTCCTTCCTTCCTTCTTCCTTCCTTTCTTTCTTTCTTTCTTTCTTTTGAGACGGAATCCCACTCTTGTCACCCAGGCTGGAGTGCAACCTCTGCTGCTCAGGTTCAAGCAATTCTCCTGCTTCAGCCTCTCGAATAGCTGCGATTACAGGCACCTGCTACCATGCTTGGCTAATTTTTGTATTTTTAGTAGAGATGGGGTTTCACCATGTTGGCCAGGCTGGTCTCGAAATCCTGACTTCAGGTGATTTGCATGCCTAAGCCTCTCAAAGTGCTAGGATTACAGCCATGAGCCACTGCGCCTGGCCCTAAACCATAATTTCTAATCTTGTGGCTAATTCGATAGTCCTATGAAGGCAGTCTAGTCCCCAGGCAAGAAGGAGGTTTGTTTTGGGAAAGGGCTTTATCATCTTTGTTTTAAACTATAAACTAAGTTTCTTCCAAAGTTAGTTCAGCCCATGCTCAGGAATGAACAAAAACAAGGTTAGAACGAAGATGGAGTTGGTTAGGTCGGATCTGTTTCACTGTATCAGTTATAATTTTGCCATGGCAGTTTTAATCTATTAATAAAATGTTCCATACAGCAGACAAGTTAAACAACTATAAACATTACACACCTAATAATAGACTCTCAAAATACATAAAGCAAAAATTGACAGAATTGATGAGATAAATACATTTTTATGATAATAGTTGGAAACTTATTTACCTCATTTCCAATAATGGATAGATCATTTGGACAGAGGATAAGTAAGAAAATAGAGAATTTGAACAATGCAATAGCCAATTACTTAACATATAAATATAAAACACTGCACCCCAAAACAGCAGAAATCATAGGGAGGCTGAGCTGGGTGAATCACTTGGCACCAGGAGTTTGAGAACAGCCCGGCCAACATGGTGAAACCCTGTCTCTACCAAAAATACAAAATATAGCCGGGCCTGGTGCTGTGTGCCTGTAATCTCAGCTATTAGGGAGACTGAGGCAGGAGAATCGCTTGAGCCCAGGAGGCAGAGGTTGCAGTGAGCCAAAGTCGCACCACTATACTTCAGCATGGGCAACAGAGTGAGACTTTGTCTCAAAAAAAAAAAAAAAAAAAGATTAAGTTTTAACATGAATTTTGGAAGGACAGAGTCAGACCGTAGAATTCTGCCTCTGGCCCCACAACATTCACATCCATCTCACAGGCAAAATACATTCATTCCATTCCAATAGCTCCATAAGTTTTTTTTTTTTTTTATTAAAAAAAATTTTTTTTATAGAGACAGGGTCCCACTATATTGCCCAGGCTGGTCTTGAACTCCTGGCTTCAAGTGGTCCTCCTGCCTTGGCCTCTGCACCAACTCAAGTCTAGAGTCCAGACTCTCATCTAAATCCAATATGAGTGAGACTGCAAGGTGTGATGCATCCTGAGGCAAAATTTCCTCCAGCTGTAAGCCTGTGAAATTGAACAAGTTATGTGCTTTTAAAATACTGTCAAATGAAGATTGATGAAGTTCATACATTTGGAAAGGAAACCTTTATTTCTCATAAAGGATTGCAGCTTACAAGGTGGCCATTCTGACTGGCTGGGAGGCATAGCCTCCACCCAGAAGCCAGAAACAGATACTTTGAGGGAGAGGAAAGGGAATAGGAATTTATGCTGAGCAAGATAGCCAAGTATACATATTCAATAAGCTATAGGAAGTGTGATGAGTAGTTTTGAGGAGGCATGTGCGCATGCACAATTGAGCTTCATGCTTCTCCATGGGACCCATATTCAAAAATGGCAGCATTAGCATGATCTGAAGGTGAAGTTTTTGGTTCTCTGATGTCAAAAGGTGAAGCAGAGGATGTGCTTCACCCTTACTATGCATTTTCCATAGAATGGCCTGAACCACTCCATGGTTGGTGGTTTTTTATCAGCCAAAAAAGGAGTAATGGCATTAGGCAGTTGGTTGATATCAGTGGTGGAAGATTTTGAAAGGTCTGGTTTCTGTTTACTTTTAGGGAAGAAAGCCTAATTGTGGTTAGCAAGGGAGTGGGTATAATGAGGTGAGACTGATTATGGCCAAGAACTCAGTTTTCAAGGTTACTCTGTGATTCTCTTGGCCAAGAGATGGTCCATTCGGTCAGTTGTGGGCCATAGAATTTTATTTTTAGTTTACAATACAATGGTGGGACAAGCATAGGATAAATAGCCCCATTCTGAAAGGGAGAAGTAGGAAAGAAGGAAAGGATAACAGGTCCCAAGTAAGTCCAAAACCCAACAGGGAAAACAACATTAAATCTTAAGACTGGAGAATAATCTTCTTTGACTCTATGTCCCCACTTCTGGACACATTAGGGTGGGGAATGGGTCCCCAAGGCTCCAGGCAGCCTTGCTCCAGAGCTTTGCTGAATGCAGCTCACAAAGTAGCTCTCATGGGTTAGAGTCTTCTGACTGTGATGTTTCTAGATATAGTTGCATGCTGGGGCTCAACCAGTCTAGGATATTGGGGGCAGCCCTGATCCCATATTCACTGGGCACTCCCCTAGTGGGGGCTCTCTGTGGTGGCCCTGCCCCTATGGCACACCTCTGCCTGGGCCCTGAGGCTATCTGGGGCATTTAAAATTTAATGATCTAGCTATGCCCCCATAGCTCTTGCACTCTGTGCATTTGGAGAGTTAGCTCCATGATGCTGCCATGGCTCTCCTTCTGCGACTTCCGGAGGAGCAGGACAAGCAGTACCTGGGCCTGCTTGTGCCATAGCTGGGGCAGCCAAATGGGAGTGTCAGGAACAAAGCCTTGAAATTATTCTTTTCCTGTGGCTCTGCTATTTTGGGCTTGTGATGGGTCGGGACTGAACTGCCAGCCACACAATTGAGTCATAAAGGGAACTCTGGAGCAACAGTTTGGGATATTGGACCTACATAGGAGTCAATAGGCTATATAGGTACCCTACCTTCCTATTGAGGGTACTACCCATAATAGGCATTGTCCTTTTTTGTTGGAGAATATAATATAGAGGTTACAATCACTGTCTACAGATGACAATATACAGGCTAAAATGTTTTATGTGCAAGGCAATCAGTAAAACTTCATGATTTAGAAACAAATCAGGAAAACGTCATGATTCAAAAACAAATCATTGGCTGGGCACGGTGGCTCATGCCTGTAATCCCAGCACTTTGGGAGGCCAAGGTGGGCGGATCACAAAGTCAGGAGTTTGAGACAAGCCTGACTAACATGGTGAAACCCTGTCTCTACTAAAAATACAAAAATTAGCAGGGCATGGTGAACCATGCCTGTAATCCCAGCTACTTAGGAGGCTGAGGCAGAAGAATCGCTTGAACCTGGGAGGCGGAGGTTGCAGTGAGCTGAGATTGCATCACTGCACTCCAGCCCGGGCGACAGAGCAAGACTTGGTTTAGGGAAAAAAAAAAAAAATCATTGTCCTTTTCCACGTCAGCAGCTTACATATTAATCAGTACATCAACAGTTTGAGAAACTAATAATAAAATTTGGGAATTCACAAGATTGTTTACTCTGAAACAGGATTTAGCCATGAATCACAAGACCTTCCCCAGGTGTTTAATTTGGAAGCCTGCCAAATGTGATCTGTAGGTTATCACCATAATCTGAGAATATCTTGATTTCATCTTTGTTCCAGAAGGATATTTTCACTGGGCATAGAAATCTGGGTTGACAGTTCTTTTCTTTCTCAATTTAAAAAGCTTTGTGCCACTTCCATATATGCATGTTTAGGTACACCCTCAGCATTCAGCCAGGTGTTTGACAACTCTGTCCTGGCGTTCACTTTCTGCTTGCACAGACCCTCAGGGTCAGCCAGAGGTGAGATCTTAAAGCTTTCTCATATCTTTCCTGGACATATGCACAGCTCTATGCATATATGTGGACATCTATATTCCTAGATGTTGGAAATAGATGCTTGGTACCACAAAGAAAAATTAGCACTGAAACAAAGGATCTTTTAGCAATGCAATTTTTACTTCCTGGACTGCAGGAAGGGTACCCTCACTAGTCATCATGCCATGAGAGTACAATGAATAGAGGAAAACACACAAATTTATTCCTTACGCATTTGGGGACATCCTTACTGCTGTGTTTGATCTCTGTTGGCTGAAGCCAGACCTCACACTGAACTAAAACCTGATTGGCTAACAACTTAAAACTTTTCTAAACAGGTAAAAGCAATGGAGAGCTGGGACATGCCTGTGAGCATGTCCAGCAAAGATATTTGGTTAAAGTACAAGGATACAGAATGTGTTATGTGCCTTTATGCATGGCATATGTAACAGCTACATAGGATAGGGCTTAACAAAGAGTTATTAGCACATTTGTGATTTATTTATTTATTTATTTAAATAGGAAACTTTAAAAAGGAACTTTTCTGCTTCCCACACTAGGAATATGTCAGAGCCGTTCAAAGCCTCTATGTACATCTCATTCTCCAGGTTTTCCTTTTAAGCTCTTTCATTAGCCTGTGATTTGTTCCAATTTTTTTTTTTTTTTTTTTTGAGATGGAGTTTCGCTCTTGTTACCCAGGCTGGAGTGCAATGGCGCCATCTCGGCTCACCGCAACCTCCGCCTCCTGGGTTCAGGCAATTCTCCTGCCTCAACCTCCTGAGTAGCTGAGATTACAGGCACGCGCCACCATGCCCAGCTAATTTTTTGTAGTTTTAGTAGAGACGGGGTTTCACCATGTTGACCAGGATGGTCTCGATCTCTTGACCTCGTGATCCGCCCGCCTCGGCCTCCCAAAGTGCTGGGATTACAGGCTTGAGCCACCGCGCCCGGCGATTTGTTCCAATTTTTATCCATCACCTTAGGCAGCTGCAAAATGGAACAATTAACACTAAACGTTTTTGACTGACTCCCTCATGAAAAAGCCTTTTGCACTGAGTGAGCTCTAAGTTGGGTCAAATAAAGATAGCCTTGCAAGTGGGATTTTCCAGGGAACCACTAGACAGGTCAAATAATGACAGTTCTCCAGGAATAAGGTTTTGAAGGAACTCCAACCACATCTTCCTCCTTTGGTGGCTGCCAGGTTGCTGATTTTCACTATGATTGTGGGTTGTTGCTGTTCAAGGATACTGCAAAACTGGAGACGGGGGATGGGAATAGGGCAAGTTAAAACACCACAAAACTTGTTGCTTCTACCAAGATTCAGCTGTTTTCTTGAATAAATGATCTCTAGGTTGCTATAAGCCTGAGGTTAACTTCTAGAATCTCCTGAAAAAGTTGATTCTGACAATTCTTTTTTGCTAGTTTTCTAGTCACTTTTTTTTAGAAGAGAAAACTTTTAGAGGTCCTTATTCTGCCATTTTCACTAATGTCACCACCCTGTAAGGTTTTTGGAAAATGTTTTGTGCCAATTTCTGATTCTAGACAAGATGGCATATTCCTACTTCTTGCTAGTCTTTCTTCTTACAACTATGAAACTCTGGAGATTATACGACACAGAAACATAAGAAAATTCTGAAATGTTGAAAGAAGAAAGTGGACTGGCTAGGGACTTTGGGACTTGAGGAACAACATAGCAGTGAGCTCTCTGGGTTTTCTTTTTGCCTCTCATATCTCACAGATGGAGCACTGAGGAAGCCTGCAACCTAGAATGGCCAATAGGCACAAACCAAAAAAATGTTTCAATAGAAGCCTCCTCTTGGGCCAGGCATGGTGGCTCATGCCTGGAGTCTCAGCACATTGGGAGGCTGAGGCGGGTGGGTTACTTGAGATCAGGTGTTCAAGATCAGCCTGGCCAACATGGTGAAAACCCATCTCTACTAAAAATACAAATATTAGCTGGGCATAGTGGCAGGTGCCGATAATCCCAGCTACTCAGGAGGTTGAGGCAGGAGAATCGCTTGAACCCAGGAGGCAGAAGTTGCAGGGAGCCGAGATTGCACCACTGCACTCCAGTCTGGGCAACAAGAGCAAAACCCTGTCTCAAAAAAAAAAAAAAAAAAAGTCCAAGCTAAGGGCTGAGTGGGACACTTGATCTCACAAGTTCCCCATTTGGCCCTCTTCCAAGTGTGCTTTGCTTCTTTTAATAATCCTTTGCCTCTGCTTTAAAACCTGCCTCAGTGTGTCAGTTGAAATCTCTCCTCTGAGAAGACAACGTTTGGGATCAGTGCGGATTCACCAGTTATTGCGGACTCACTGCCAGTAACACTTTCGCAAAGTTCAGGAGTGGGAGAAGGCCCTGACTACAAGAGACATAACCACATAATTAATTTTTCTCTATTTTTTCCCCCTCCTTTGCTTAACCCTGGGAAACTGAACTGTTGCAGTTTGACAGTAGGAAATAAGAGCCAGGGGCGGGAGACTGATACCGTGTGTGTGTGTGTGTGTGTGTGTGTGTGTGTGTGTGCGCGCGTGTTGCCACCCAGCTGTGATAATTGGATTTGAGCAATTACAGATAATGATTATAGTGATCATAAATCATAAATATGAGAGGACAACTCCTAAGGTGGTCTTGGCATGGCCCACATGTCAGAGGTTGGGAGACATTCTGGGATGCTATGAGTTATATAAGAAAGGAACTACTGAACTAATTAGGAATGAATCTGAGCGTATGGTGTGGGTAAGACACAGGAGAGTTGGGAAATAGGTGGAGTGATTGTTGGAGGGACTAGTCATATTGATCGTGTAGCTGTGGAAAGAGAGGAACAACAACCCTGGTTGGTAAGAAGAGAACACCTTAGACTCTGGGTTGTCAGGGGCAGTGATGTAACCGCCCAACAGGTTTGCCTTGCCTGCCGCCTAGACAGAGCTGATTTGTCAAGACATGGTAACTGTAATACAGAAAGGGCAGAGAATTCATGCAGAGCCAGTGTGTGGGAGACTGGAGTTTTTATTATGACTTAAACCAGTCTCCCTGAAAACTCAGGGGTTGGGGTTTTAAAAGATTATTTGGTGGGTAGGGGGTTGGAAAGTGGAACGTCCTGATTGGTCGGGTCAGAGATGAAATCATAGGGAGTTGAAGCTGTCCTCTTGTGTTGAGTCGGTTCCTGGGTGGAGGCCCCAATGCCAGATGAGCCAGTTTACTGATCTGGGTGGTGCCAGCTGATCCACTGAGTGCAGGGTCTGCAAAACACCTCAAGCACTGATCTTAGGTTTTACAAGCGTGATATTATCCCCAGGAACAATTTAGGGAAGTTCAGAATACTCCAGCCTCCAGCTGCATGACTCTTAAACCATAATTTCTAATCTCGTGGCTAATTCGTTAGTCCTGCAAGGGCAGTCTCCTCTCCGGGCAAGAAGGGGGTTTGTTTTGGGAAAGGGCTGTTACCGTCTTTGTTTCAAAGTTAAATTATAAACTAAGTTCCTCCCAAAGTTAGTTTGGCCTCTGCCCAGGAATGAACAATGACAGCTTGGAGGTTAAAAGCAAGAGGGAGTCGGTTAGTTCAGATCTCTTCCACTGTCATAATTTTCTCAGTTATAATTTTTGCAAAGGTGGTTTCAGAAGGAAGGCCCATTAATTTATCTTAGCTACTATCTGCAGGATATCTGGCCGATTTAACCTAGACTTGTGCTATCACTATCAACTTGACCACTGGAAAACAAACAATCTGAATCTTCCCAAAGCCTCACTAAGATACAACATAACAAAGTTAACTTTCTGAAAATTTATATTATTTCCTTTAGCATCATTCTGTTATCACTGGACTGTTTTGTACATTTTTCGCAGACCACCTATTGTTCTAAATTCTCTAGCATGACTGACAGTGGACAATTGTATTGTTTTGGATTTCCTGCTGGTTAGCTTAGGCATGATATGTGCCATTACCAACACCTCTTGCCTCACCTGCATTCAGCCCTATTAACTGACTTCGATCTGGATTGGGAACCTGTCTACCATCCAGTGGGCCTGATTAAACTACAGGGACTTGTAATCTTAGTTACTCTGATTTAATGTTGCCTAAGAGAAATGGAATGGATCCAGTCTAAGCCTTTATCAGTACAATTAATTAGAGTATCTGATGAACTTATGTGGCAGCTTATGCTCCTGAGAATTCTTAACCGTATGTGTGATAGGTTGGGAGGTAGAGTTGTAGGGGAATGACTCTGCCATGGTACCCTGGCAATCTTGCATATATCTACATAGGCCACACAGGCAAAGGCATGAACAGTAACTATTCTAAGTCTTAGCATGTTGTCTTGTGATCCTCCAGAACACAAGAGGATAAGAGGAGCTTTACAAGGTCATCCCTCACTCCCTTCCATGTCTCCTGTAGGAGGCTGTCATGAGACAGTTTTTCATTGCCTCTGAGATTCTGATGAAGCATGAGACTTTGTTCCCCCAGAAGGAAGTAGTGTTACAGTCAACAGTTATAACCTGAGTAGGGTGGGTCCTCCCAGGTCCACAATTGTACCTGCCAACCTATCATACATATGGTTAAGAATTCTCAAGAACATGAGCCACTACATAAGTTCATCACTCAATCCAATGTACGTTGTAGGATACCCCATTTCTGAGGAGCCAGTTTTAGACTGCAGCAGTGCTGCAGTCTAAAATTGGCTCCTCAGAAATGGGGTATCCTACAATGCACATTGCAGTCATCCAGCTCCCTTTTGTTTCATGGCATTCTTTTTAGCATGTAGGACGAGGACCCGGGGAGCTGGCCTATTTGGCTACTCTTCCTTTTGCTGTCTGTGTAAATACATCGTATGAGTCTAAAAATGGCTTATTGTATCTTTTTTTTTTTTGAGATAGAGTCTTGCTCTGTTGTCTAGGCTGGTGTGCAGTGGCATGATTTTGGCTCACATAAGATGTCCTGCTTCTAGTAAGCCCACCTGTAATTTTCCCATGCCAACAACTTCCAATAAGGGAATGCCTGAAGCCATTCCTTTTTTCCACTATGAAGCTTCCCCCACTCTTCTGCCTTTCAGTCTGCTGAATGCAGATGATGAGGGCTGACTCTCTTTTCATATGTAGCAAGTTCTGAATAATTGTCTTTGTTCTCATTTGAGTAGTCTTTTATTTTCACAACTTTTAAAATAATGTAATTTCCTGGCATGTTGTGTGATGTTAGGTAAGCCATTTTCTCTCTTTGGGCCTTACTTTCTTCAATTGAAAAGTTGGTTCAACATTTATTCATTCTTTTATTCTGTAAGCCAAAAATAAAATTCTAAGCCCCCTGACCATCTGAATGGATCTCTCCTCTTGGCCAAGGACATTCCAAAGTTAACCTGAAAAACTGGTTCAGGCCATGATGGGAAAGAGGAGTTGGACATGCCTCATTATGCGCCCCTCCCTTTTGAAATTCAGGCCCAGCTGACCAGCATTAACATCAACACAGACCTTAAGACTGATGGAACAGCCTCTTTAAGTCTCACAGACCATCAGGTAGTGTGATAATGATAAGAAACATTTACAATCTATTCTCTGAAGCCTGCTACAGGCTCCATCTGCATGATAAAACCTTGGTCTCCAAAAGCCCTTATCTTAACTGAGACAGCCCTTTCTGTTGATTCTAACTCTCTAGACAATAAATAACTTAACTCTTGTAAACAATTGCTGCTCAGAAAATCTTTGAATCAGTCTATGCTCTGAAAGCCTCCCTCTTCCAGTTGTCCCACCTGTCCGGACAACCAATGTACATCTTACATGTATGAATTGATGTCTTATGTCTTCCTAAAATGTATAAAACCAAGTAGCCCAACCACGTTGGGCACATGTTCTCAGGATCTCCTGGGGCTGTGACACGGGCCATGGTCACTCATATTTGGCTCAGGATAAATCTCTTCAAATATTTTACAGTTTGACTTTTCGTGGACAATTCTGCAAATATTTCTCAGCAGTTAAAGAAATTACTCCCCAGGAGGTGCTAGACATTAGGTGAATGTTAGACGCACAAAGATGAGAATGCTGAAGATATAACATAAAACACCCGTCTGCTCTGGGAATGCAGAAACTGGTAAAAGGAGAGAGAAATGAGCAGGTGCAGTCGAAGTACCCGCTACTTCCTATCAGCATATAGCTGTCCGCCTGGGGTGCAGCGAGCTGGAGAGGAAGGGGTGCCCTGGAGCGCCCGGGAAGGATTCCTCTCCAGCCACCTCCACCCCTATCCCGGTAGCGGCCCCTGGGATCCTCAGTCTCCAAGAGAACCGGACCGCTCTCCCCTCCCTCCCGGGGCGAGAAAGGAGGACCACAGAGACGCGGCGCCCTCCGCCGTCCTAGAGCAACCGGAGCACCCCGAGCCCCGGCCTTCCGGATGCGGGAGTCTGGCTGGCGCTTAGCGCTGGCAGTCGTGCGTGGGGTGGGCAGCCGTGCGTGGGGTGGCAGCGAGTGGAGTTGGGGGTCTTACCCGGGCGGCTGCAGGGCGCGGGGGTGCAGCGTCAGGCCTGCCCAGGTCCAGAGCACTCCTCCCCGACCCCTGCACCTCCGGCCGGGTCTGGGGGGCGCTCGCTTTCCCGGAGAGCGAGCTGGGCTGTGGCAGCCGCGGCCTTGGTGAGCGCGACACACCTCGGCCCTGCCTTCGAGCTGCTGCCGGTTCAGCTCACGCTGCCCCGGGCGTGCCCGGTGAGTGCGGGGCTGGAGCCTGGAAGCAGGCTCGGCCCTGCCCTGGGTTCTAGGCCCCGAGACGGAGTGTTGCGGCCGCTGGGAAGTGGGGGTACAACCCAGAATGGGGGGCCTCGAGGGACAGGCAGCAGAGCGGAGTCGACACCCCCGGACATGAGCCTCAAGGAGAGCAGACGTGCAACAGCACGGGGTTGAGCCGACTGCTGGGGCAGAGTGCACAGAGTGCTGTAGGGGGATGAATGGCCAGAATTTCAGAGCCAGTTTTACAGAGCTGGTTATGTTTGAACTGGGTATTAGGTTGAAAAGGAATTTGCAGTGCAGGAACAGGAGAGAACTGGATATTCAGGCAAGGGTAGCTGCAGGTGCAAGGGCACAGACCTTACACAGTATGGAGACTGAGACCCTGAGGGAGGCAGTGCTGAGAATTACAGGAACTCTCAATGGCTGGAGGTCAGCACTGTTTGTTTCTCAAGGAAGAGGATGAGAGAAAGGAAAGAACATGCAGGAGCTGAGATTCCTAGAGATGTAGAAAATGGGGACGTGGAGATTGGAGTTTGGGGAAGCGAGGTGGGATGTTTGAGAGCGTGTGTTGTGGATGGGGGAGGGCAGGGAGTAAAGTCACAGCAAGGATCTGCCCTGTGGAGTACAGTCTCCAGGGCAACATGAGTGTTGGGAGGATCCCCTAGCTGCCTCCGTGGCTGGTGGCAGTGACTGGGGAGGACAGAGAAGGAAGAGTCCTACACAGGGACAGCAGGGATAGCAGGAGTGGGGATGGAAGGCAGTATGGCCTAACAGGCAAGAGCCAGAGTCAAACAGTCCTGGGTTCTGTCTCAGTTCTGGAACTTTTGGGGAAGTTAATCCCTCTGAGCCTCAATTTCCATCTGATACCCTCCTTGTAGGCTATGAGACATAAGTAATATATGTCAAGTGCTTGGCACAGGCTTAATAAATGATAGTTGTTATCAAGGGTGGGTGACCTCTGAAGGAGGACACATTGTGGAGAGAGGATGGGACCTAGAGTACAGATGTGGTTTGGGATATAAGGATGAAACTAGAAAACGTTTGCAGACTCTTAAAAAAAAAAGATGATGTTTGCTGAAATAAAGATGAAAAGACATGAGAAAATTGATGGCTGATGCCTTGTCTCTGTACATAGGAGGCAAAAATCTTCTGCTGAGAGAGTACCTGTAGATATTCAGAACCCAGAATCCCCACAGGCATCCCCACAGTACCTTTTGGTGCCCTGTCTCCCCTTCCTCCTGGCCTGGTCCTGGGGTTGTCCTAGGGCATTTAAACACTTCTTGTTTCAGGAGTCAGTGACCTTCGAAGATGTGGCCGTCTACTTCTCTGAGAATGAATGGATCAGCCTGGGCCCTGCTCAGAGAGCCCTGTACAGGGATGTGATGCTGGAGAATTATGGGTCTGTGGCTTCCCTGGGTAAGGGTCTCTCCCTTTGGGCCCTGCCTCCACCCTTCAGAGTTTCCTGGCTTCTTTCTCAAAGGCTCAGGAGTTGTTGATAACCCTCAGCTCAGTGGCAGCTTCAGGCTCTTAGATTTTTAATGACCCAATCTCAGCAGTTGTTGGGAAGTAGGAAGTCCTGGTATCAGTTTGGGCCTTATACAGGATTTCCTTGCCCCAGAGTGAGAGCTGCCCAACCCCTACCCTTGTGTTGTGGGGATAGTGAGAAGAGAGCAGATTCATGGTGCCCCATTGAGCCTTCAGTTCCCTGCCCTCTCGGTTTGCAAGATCCAGCCCAATTCCAAGCATCCTCATGAGGATGTCTGAACTTGAGAGCACTAAGAGGGAGAGGACAGATAAGAATTGAGGACTCAATTCCTCAATGAGTGAAATTATCCATTTGCTGACTCAAACAGTTGTTGAGTCCTCTGTCAACTTCCTAACCTTTGTAAGTCTCCTGGCTCCTCTCCTGTCCTTTACCCTGGAATTCCATTTCTTCTTCCTCTTAGTTATTTTTCATTTTCCCCTCCTGCCCCTGAAGACACTGGCCTGGGAGGAGCCTTGGGATTACTCTGTGTCACACCACTCACTTGCCTGCCCTGTTTCCTTCCCCTTAAGCAGCATTTCCATTTCCCAAACCGGCTCTGATTTCCCAGCTGGAGCGAGGCGAAGCACCCTGGTGCTCGGCTCCTTGGGGAGCTCTGGATGGAGAGGGCCAGAGGGGCATCTCCTCAGGTGAGTGAGGGCACATGTGCCGGTCATCTGACCAGTTTCTTTGTCATGATCATTAAAATGTCATAGATCCGTGTTCTTTTAACCTAGTATTGTAGACACTAGTGGGATTCCTTTTCCGCTGTGTGTTCCCACATTTTCCATCTTCTTGAGTCCTTGTTTTATTCATCCTGGCTCCTCTGCGTGCCATCTTCATTAACCTGTTTTGCCCCTTTCCCATCTCTGCTGGCTATCACGTATCTTTGCCCCCTGAGTTTCCTGTTTACTCTGATCTTTGGTGCCCTTTCTACTTCCTGGCCTGCTTGAGTCTTCCAGCTTGGGTTATAATGGCCATCTTTATCATTAGAAACCAAGAACTCTCAACTCTCAGCCAAATATTTCCTATTCCGCAGGGGAAAGCCCTGGGATTACTTTAGGCCCAACAGGACTTTGTTGCTCTTAGTTTCCTAGTGATAACTGTGTTTCCTGGTTGTGTCCTTGGCCCCATTTCATCTTCCCACAAGGCTCTTCTGTGGACACAGTGAGACTTGCGCCATGCTCCCAGTTTCCTCATTCTCACAGTTCCTTGTTCTGTCTTTTCACATTAGAATGCTCTTGATTGCAGATATTAAAACCCAATTCAATCTGGCTTAAACAAAAAAGAAGAATTTGTTGTTTCATATAACTGGGAAGTCTGAGTGGGCTGCAGGTACAGTTTGATCAGAGTTACAGTCTCTGGTCTGTCTTCATACGTGTTGGCTTTGTCTACAGTCTGGCTCCCCTTTTGGTTGTAAGGTGATTTGTGGTAGCAACAGGACTCTACTGCCTCATACCTAGGGGAAGAAACCAGGCAGGCCTTCCTTAGGCTTTAAAAAATGTGAATCAAGGTCCTAAGTATTCTCTAATGGATTACTTTAAGTCATATGCCAGTTCTGAGTCAATTACTGTGGCAAGAGAACTACTATGCACTGATTGACTTGGTCTGAATTGCCACTCCCTGAATCAGTCTCCTGTGTAGTGAGTGGGATGGGATTAACCTGCTTGGCTTAGCCAAGTCAGAGCCTACCTAGGAATTGGAGTTGGGATACCCAACCACCTACTCTAGCTCCCTACAAAGGACATAGCTACTTTACAGTGGGGAGGAGTGCGATGGGTGTAGGGAGACCACCACAGCATCCTTTGCATTCTCAGTGCTTCCTCTCCTTACCACCTAAGGGAATTTCTCTGCTTTGCTTTGCGTTAGTTAGAAAACCAACAGCTAAGTTGCTCCTTGACCAAATTCTAACTCTCTGACCTGCAGCTGACTTCCTTGGCACATACCTGTCCCTACTCAAAGTCCACTTTTGTCTTATAGAAGTTAATACTCAGAAGATGCATAGTTCCTGGATTTGGCAACAGAAAACTTTGTCATTTGAAGATGTAGAATTGATCTGTTTCTTGGGAGGTTTTGGATGAGGGTTACAAAGAGACAGTTCTAGTGAAAGCAGAAGTAAAGCATATTAGAGTGGATCTCTGTGAACAGTAGTGTGTGTTACTGAGTAAGAAGTGACTTTTGGAAATGGCTGAGTGAGGGTGTGAGTTCATCTTTTATGGATGCTATAGAGAAACCCCATCATTGAATCTTTGTGGAATGAGAAAGCAATAAATGGATAGGAAGGAAGGAAACTAGGAGATTATGTTTTCCCAGAATAGCCTGCCTAGACAGGGAGTCCTCAAGAATAGCTCTCTGCAATTCCATCACATCCTGATTGTTTCCTATGTGAATTTAATTTCATCTCCTAGGGATAGGTGCAGAAAAGGCCTTAGTCTTTTCTATTTCTTCTTGACATTTAAAAATGAGTGATATGTTTTCATATCTTTGGGAACTGATAGAATTGTAGCTTCTCTGTTCTAGTATTTTCTATCCTTTATTATGTATGTATGTATTTATTTTTTGAGGTGGAGTCTCACTCTGTTGCTCAGGCTGGAGTGCAGTGGTGCAGTCTTGGCTCACTGCAACCTCTGCCTTCCAGGTTCAAGAAGTGACTTTCCTGCCTCAGCCTCCTGAGGAGCTGGGACACAGGTGCACACCACCATGCTTGGCTGATGTTTTTTGTGTTTTTAATGGAGATGGGGTTTCACCATGGTGGCCAGGCTAGTCTTGACCTCCTGACCTTAGGTAATCTGCCCACCTTGGCCTCCCACTGCACCCTGCCTATCCTTTATATTCATATACCTTCAAATTTCTGCTTATCTGTGTTACAAGTCTTTTCACCCACCTTTATTCCCTCCCTACCACTTCCATGTCTACTCCTTTCTTGATGGTCCTCACTCCTCTGACTGAGCCAGCCTCATTTGTATCTTGACCCTGGCAGGATATCTATTTCTAAAGCCTGCTGGAATTTCCCATCTTGAGCAGGTGGAAGAGCCATTGAACCTGAAACTGCAAGGAGAGGGTCCAAGCCTACTTTGTCCTGGTAAGTGAGAGGGAAATGAGCATTCTTTTCCCAGTCACACCTTTTCCTATCTTTCCTTTATAAAATGTAAAAATTCATTTTGCTATTATAGTTCTAAACAAATTTGGGGGCCAAATCCCCAAATCAACCAATTAAACCCTAAGCTTCCAACTTTCATTAGGACAAGCTCAATTAAATTAATTAAAAAAGGATGGGTCTTGGGTCTTAGGCTTAAACTGAACAGATGGCCTGTCCATTTGGCTGCTATGATCACCCAATATTTTTAATGTAGATGCTGTATTTTACTCATTGCATTAGTTGCTAGGGGTAAAATAGTCAAGTCATTTATGGTCCTTATCCTGGAAGGACTCACATTCTAATGTGACATAATACATAAATGTATAATTACAGAAAAATGATGAAGCTGTAACAGAATGTGAATCAGATACTATGAGAACAAAGAGGAGGGAGTCTTTGCCCAGTTCTGCCTGGAGTAGTTTGAGAAAGCACTTTTCATGGTTTCATGGTGAACTTGGTGATTGGATTGAAAGAGAAGACTATACTATACTTTAGTGTTGAAAAGTGTGAGGAAGCTCATTCTTGCTACTGTCCACGTGTGTGACAAGCCCAGGTTCCCAGGTATACCACTAAGGATTACTTATTTCTGAACAGGTCCTCTGCCCTATGTCCTGGCCTGTTCTTCTCATGTTATAAACTGTACTCAGCTACCTAGGAGGAATTCTGACTTGTTTGCCTTAGATTCAATTCACCTGTTTTCTGAGAGCCTACCCTGGGACTTGGTTTGGTGCTTGGAATCATAGCCCTCGGATTCTATCTAGTTGCTGTCTTTTGCTTTTGGTTTCTGTGTGTTAGCCTTGTTTTTGCCATTTTCAGCTAGGACAGGCCACTGAGACATGGGTGGCACTTAGAGAGAAGTGGACATATTAATACTACTTGGCGACCTTAGTTGCACTGTCATGGATAATGATGACATTTGTAGCTCTGATTTCTTTTTTCAGAGGGCGTGTGGAAGAGGAAGAAAGATTTTATTCTGAAGGGGGAAATTCTTGAGGAAGCACAGGACCTCATGGTCCCATCAAGTGGACCCAGGTGGTGTGGATCCCGGGAATTATGGTTTGGGAAAACCTGTAAAGGGAAAAGCAGGTTAGGGAGATGGCCTGGTTACCTCAATGGGGGAAGTATGGAAAATTCAACAAATGATATTATAGAAGTGATTGTCAAGGATGAGAAGATCTCAGTAGAAGAGAGTTCAGAGAATACTATCAATAAACTCATTGGTATATATCACACAATTCTAAATGAGCAAACATTCTATATATGTGAAGAATGCAGCAAGTGTTTTGATCAAATTGAGGACTTTGATCAACACCAGAGAACTCATAATGGAGAGAAGGTCTATGAATGTAAGGAATGTGGGAAGGCTTTCAGTTTTTGATCACATTGCGTTGCATATCAGAGAATTCACAGTGGGGTGAAACCCTATAAATGTCAAGAATGTGCTAAGGCCTTTGTTTGGAAGTCACCAGAGAATACATACTGGAGAGAAACCCTTTGAATGTAAGGAATGTGGGAAGGGCTTTAGTCAGAACACAAACCTTACACAACATCAACGGATCCATACTGGGGAGAAACCATACACATGCAAGGAATGTGGGAAAAGTTTTACTCGAAACCCAGCACATCTTCGACATCAGAGGATGCACATTGGGGAGAAGCCTTATGAATGTAAGGACTGTGGGAAAGGCTTCATGTGGAACTCAGATCTTGCTCAGCACCAGAGGGTCCACACTGGTGACAAGCCTCATAAATGTACTGACTGTGGGAAAACCTTCTTTTGCAAGGCACACCTTATTCAACATCAAAGAATCCATACTGGGGAAAGACCCTACAAATGTAATGACTGTGGGAAGGCCTTCAGTCAGAATTTTGACTTAATTAAGCACCAGAGGCGCCATGCTAGCGACAAACTGTATAACTGTCAGATCTCTCACCTTCTTGAACATGAGTGAGTGCATAATGGTGATGATACTTGTTTATAAATCTTATGCTACAGGAACCCCAGAGACAAAATGAGATGACCGTTCACAATTTGCTGTAACCCTTAACTTTAATAGCCGGTATTATCTTGCCCTTTTGAACATATATCATGTACTCTAGCCAGATTGGTCCCTCTGTTCTGTGATGTTTGTACAAGGCATCATTTAGTTGGGCAGCTACTCTTATCAGGTGCTAACCACTATACATACATTGATTAATTTGTATAACAATCCTGTTAAGGTAGGTGCTCTTCTCCCCATTTTATAAATGAGAAATCTGAATTGAAAGAGGTTATAAAACTCATTCAGGGTTTCTCAGTAAGTTATAGATTTGAAATTGGAGCCAGGCCTATCTGACTGCAGAGTTCGTACTGGTCTTTACTTAGTTGTACATATTTATGCCTCTGCCCGTTATTATTTGCTCATTTTCCTGTGCTTTTAGTTTCCCTTCATCACTTAGATCCAGCTCCTTCAGCTAAGCAGATCTGTCTTCCTCAGCACCACCCAAGTTAGTATTTAATTATGTGTCATCTATATTTTTCTAATAGTCTCATGTCTCAGTCTTAATCTCAGCTAAATGACTCTTTGAGGACCAACACTGCATTTCTTTGATATTTTTCAAATTCTCAAACATTTATCTTTGACTAAATGTAACATGCACATAATAAAAAAAGAATTGAAATAGTTGAAAAGGGTGTTCAGTGAAAAGTAAATTTCCTTGTCATTCATGTCTCAATTCTCCACAGGGGCAATCACTGCTAATGGTTGTGTATGGCTGTAGATATTTTTTGTATACAAGTGTTTATTAGTACTGCTTTTCATAAGTCTGCCTCGCTGAAAACCTTATTTGATGGAGGCAACATTGCAGTTACATTGTCAACTCTAGGACCTTTTCTTCAGAAGTTGCTGTGAGGTCACCAAAGTAATTTAGGGCAACAGCAGAGGGTAGTCCAGGTCTTGAGAAAACTGATTGCCCTTGTTTCATGAGACACCATTCTGGGATTGGGAATATGTAAACTCAACTGGAGATTTTTTTCATAAAAATTTATATAGTTTGGCTTGTGTCAATCAGCTTATCCCATCCCTGGCCACAGAGCCACTGTGATATGAGGAGATACTGGGCCTTCTGGAAAAGAAAGACTTTTCTTTGAGAGCTACCAGAGGAGATATTATCTGTCCTCTGTGTGGCACATAGGAAAATGTGAGGCCTAGAACTACAGCAACTTTTTTTTTCTACTAAGAGGGGAGATTCTAGAGCTTCCAGGTGCTACCATGTGGAGCCTGAGGCTAAAACCAATACCAAAGAAGACAGTGGCAAAATAGAGAGAAACTAGATCCTTGGTGACATCTTTTGAGCCGCTAGACCAAGCCTTACCTGAAGCAGACATACCTCAGAACTTTTCAGCTATGTGAGCCAATAAACATCTTTTGTCAAATGAGTTAGAGTTGAGTTTTCTGTTATTTTCAACTTAGCCACACAACTACAGTCTTACGTTTGAAAGCACTGTTTTCTCATACAGCTCCTCAGTGTCACCTTTTCCTCTTGCTTAGTAGTTTCATAAGCTCTTCATTTTTATCTCATCTTGGTTGCTTGGAAGTTGAGCATCTAAATAGGGGGCTCTCATGACCTAAGGTTAATTTCATGCATACTACCTAATTGATGTTTTAAGTTATACTATTAATGCAGGATTTCTTGCTCCTTAGTTCAGCTAAAATCTGGGTTCTTGTTTCATGACCAGGAAAAATTAGGTGCAGGGTCACATTGAAAATTGAGGAGAGCAGAATTTATTAAAGCAAAAAGGAAAACTCAACAAAAAGAGGGGTCTTGTATGCAGGCTTTCCATCCCACTAAATTGAATACCAGGCCACCACACATGAGCTGAAGAGCCCAGTCTTCTCCCCCTGCATAAGGCATGAATTCCTGGTGGCTCCACCCCATTCTCCCAGTGAACAGGCAGGCCCTTAGTCTGAGCCACTCCACATTGATTTATTTCTCTTACTGCATATGTGTTAAGGGACAGAACTTTTCACCATGGACATCTTCAGGCAAGCACCTGTGCATAGTGACCTGGACAGCATTTGGCTGTCTCCTGCCTATATTATTTCCCCCTCTAAAGAAGTACATCTAACTGCCCTTAGAATAAGGATAAGGATAACAACTGTTCTTAACTGCCTCCTGCTGATAGGTGCACTGTTTTGGAAAAGCAGCAGTCAGATCTCCCTCAGAGGCCTATTTAAGGGTTCCTGGTAAAAGGCAGCCATCGTTTGAGGCTCCAATTGCATGACTGTTTGGAGTTCAATGGCCTGAAGGTGAGAACAGACAAATCAGTTTGTTAGAAGACATGATCAGAATGAAATAAAGGAGGGATGGTAAGGACAGCTCAGAAATCCTGAGGCTGCTGATGCACCCAGATAACTGGTGGCTATGGTTATGCCTGCTAAGATTTGGGTGTGTGGGGCTTGGCTTTGGTTAGCTCCCTTGGTATTATTTTCCCAAAAAAGAAACCTCTGGGTTATAGGCACCTTATTTACTTCAATCACCTGGCAGGATTTGCAGGGTAATTGCCCAGAACTAGAATATTGATCCAGATTTTTACCTTACTCATCACTTTTGTTTCTTCTGAGCTGCAGCCAGAGATTACTGGTTGGTTCATAGGAATAAGCAGCATTAGTTTAAAATGTGGACAAAAAACTTAAAAAACAACTAATGAGTCTAGAATTTAATGACAAAGGTATGATAAATCTTGAAATATAATTTCTCTCCAGTTCTCATTTTTGTTAAAAATAAATCATGATAGGACTGAGTTGTTTCCAAAATAAACTTTAGTCTTGTACTTAGCCTGATTATTTGCATAAAGTACAGCAAGAGTAATTGTTTTTACATAGGCTTTTAAAAATTGACAAAGAATCTCAGGACTTTCAAAGCTGAGCCCAGCCATGGGTTTGTACCCTTAAATAACTATGAGTTGGGTGAATTCCTCCCTTCTTGAAGTCCCAAGAATATGGGGTTCCTGGGCCTGTTAGCGTATGACATTCCTTACTTACTGCAGGTTAGGAAACCTGTATGGGGACTGTGTAAACAAGGTATGAAGTCAGTTTTCCCAAGTGGCTTTTATTGGCTCTGTAAGTCAAGCTTGGTTTCTAAAAGGGAAATCAGGTCAAAGCCTTCCAGTCAAAGCCTTGGGAAAACAACCAATTTCTCCAATTGCACCCTCTTGCAAAAGAATATTATTATTGCAATGATGCAAAAAACTATATTGCCATAAATTAAGAATACTCGCAGCTAGTTTTCAAATTTTGGAGAAGCCAAGCAGAGAGAAACAAATATCTCCAAATTTTGTTCACAGGAGTTTATCTTACTCAATTATTAAAGGCTGTTAATGGCTCAAAATAAGTTTCCCTGACTCTGAAAACAAAACAAAGATCAGCAACATTTCAAGCAAAAGCTTCAAAAAGAGATTACTTCAGTTTTCTATTAGTTCAGTACATTTCTGTTAACTCTTGTTGTTTGATATTCATGAACATTTAAGCTCTTCATGGGTCCTGCATGTTTTCCTTTATTCCAATGTCATGATCTCCAAGGTTATCAGAAACCTGCATTTGAGAGCACCTGTTAAAGCCCTATGGCTGATTATAAACCATCCTTTGAAGAGTATCAAAAGAAGACAAATGTCTGTGAATGATAAAATGTCCAGGGTAGTTACAGTTAAAAATATAATGACAAAGAAAATTTGGTTATCTCTGTGGTTTATAATAACATAATAACCTTAATTATGATTGATAACATATACTCAGACATTAGAATTACATCCAATACAATTTCAGAATATATATTAATATCCCCTAAAATATAATCTGAAGATTAAACATCATTTTGACAATTCCATGTACCTAACCATGTCAATCCTGTTTATCTCTTCTGAGTGTTCCAGGGACCCTCTGTAGCATCCAATAGCTAGGAGCAAGGAAAGACAACCTTGAAGCTGAAATTTGATTTTGGGAAGCCTGTTAAATATATTAGAGGTTTAAAACACTTGATGTTATGAAATAGAATTCCAAGCCCTGTGTGGTGGCTCATGCCTGTAATCCCAGCACTTTGGGAGACTGAGGTGGGTGGATCACCTGAGGTCAGGAGTTTGAAACCAGCCTGACAAACATGGTAAAATCCTGTCTCTACTAAAAATACGAAAATTAGCTGGGTGTGGTGGGAGGTACCTGTAATCCCAGCTACTCGGAGACTGAGGCACGAGAATTACTTGAACCCAGGAGGTGAAGGTTTCAGTGGGGGCATATGGAATTAACCACTTGAGATGGTGCCACTGCACTACAGCCTGGGTGGCAGAGCAAGACTCCATCTCAAGAAAAAAAATAGAATTCCAGATTACTATAAATAATTAATTTTGCCAAAATGATAGCTCAAAAATTTGAAAAAACAAAAACCTTTCATTAGCCTTTACTATTACATCAAAATCCTGTTCAAGACAGAGAAATACAAATTTCAGCCTTGCATTTGTTTACTATTAATGTCAATCCCAATTTAAAAAATTAAATCTTATAGACCATTATATCCAATCATAACCAGTTTGACCATGAGGTAAGATTCTTATAAACCTTTTATAACATTTTACAAATTTTACTAAAGAGCAGATTAGTGCCTTAAGAAAACCTTGTTTTGCTTTTATTTCAATGCTCAATTTTACAGAAGAACCATATTATACACTTTTGAATTTAATGTTCACACACAGAGTTTATTTTGAAAGATTTTACCCTTTAGAAACCTTCCATAACTTGTTTAAACCTTTAGCTTTATCTTATCTAATTTAAAACAATCCTTAACCCTAGGTAAAATTTCACATTTCCATGCCTTCTTATAATCTTTTAATAAAAACACCTTACTGTTCTTACACACTTTGCATGTAAATCTATTTTCAGTAGTCTCAATTACATGTTATAATGATAATTCTTAGCAATTCTTAACTTTAATGTAAAACGTGTAAGTTGTTTTAATTCTGTTCTAGGTTCAGGTGAGGCTTGACTCTTTTCAGTATAGTTAGGGGAGTGGTTAATTTCATATGTGCCCAGGCCTTACCAAGTTGTAAAGCAGGCAAGTGGAACAGTTCTCAAAAGCCAAAGAAGTACTTTATAACCTTAAAACATTTAGCAAACCTAATATCTGAACTGCATACTTTAGAGCACATATTACATTTTAAAGACATTTGTATTTTATCAGTAATCTTTAAGACTGTTTTTATTTCTCAAAGATTAAAGTCACATGAACTAAGAGGCACTAAAGCTCTTTTCCTTCAAAATATATTTGATCTAAGCATTCATTTTTCTTTATGGAAATTAGAGCTCTTTTTAATAGACATAATATATAACACATATATAACTACATAGACAGATCAGTAGCTATGTTTTTTTGTTTGCCAATTTCCTAATTGGATTATTGGCCTCTGGGTGGGGCACTTAGCAAGGCTAGGAAATCATGCTGTTTCTAGGGTCCAATAAACAGGTATGGCTAGAAGACAAAAACGGATTTTGAGAGGAGAGGGATCTATCTGCTTTTAATTCCTGGGGTTCCATGAGGAAAACAGAGGTTTCTCCCAAAATGGAACCTGTGTTGTCTTTTCTGTTTTTCCAAAGGAGTTCCAGGCTATTAGAAATTATCTTAGGGTCTCTCATGCATGCATTAATAATGGCAAAGCAAAATGTAGAAAAAAAATTCAGTTGACTGAGAAAAAAAATCTTTTTCCAGCAAAACAAGATACAAGAAGAGAAAAACATAAAGGCCTTTTAAATATACCTATAACTTGGATATCCACTTTTGTTTTTTTGAGATAGAGTTTCACTCTTGTCACTCAGGCTGGAGTGCAGTGGTGTGATCTCAGCTCACTGCAACCTCTGCCTCCTGGGTTCAAGCGATTCTCTTGCCTCAGCCTCTGGAGTAGCTGGGATTACAGGCACTTGCCACCACACCCAGCTAATTTTTGATTTTTAGTAGAGATAGGGTTTCACTATGTTGGCCAGGCTGGCCTCGAACTCCTGACCTCAGGTGATCTGCCCATGTTGGCCTCCCAAAGTGTTGGGATTACAGGCGTGGGCCATGCTGCCTGACTTTGGATATCCACTTTTAATTAAGCTGAGTACCCTTTAATAAAATCCCTTTAAATCTCTTATAACTCGACTTCAGCCATGCCAAGCAGCCAATATTTCTGGCTTTTGATCTTTATCGAAAGTAACTTCACAGGTCAAACCAACAAGTCTCAATTAAGGCATGCAAAGCACACTAGATTGGCTACAGCTTAAGATCAACCTCATAAATCCTTTTTCATTAGTCAAAACTTTACGGAGAATATAAACAGTGATCCTTATCATTCCTTTTACTGGTTTGCACAGGAAGAGGAAGGTCAAAGGCCTAAGTGGTAAAAAAAAAACAACATTTACCCTTTTGCCAGCATGTCAAGCTTCTGGGTTCGCTTCCACCAAGCTCAATTCCAAGCCAACTAGACCGAAGATCTAGAAAGAGGGGAGCAGGTGTCCCTGGTTCCTTTCTCTTCCCAGTAAATTCTGGGGTATATGAGGGAAAGAAGGAACAAGGGTCCTTTTTACTTCTTGCATTCTTTTTTTTTTTTGAGACAGAGTTTCACTCTTGTTACCCAAGCTGGAGTGCAATGGCGCAATCTCGGCTCACCGCAACCTCCGCATCCTGGGTTTAGGCAATTCTCCTGCCTCAGCCTCCCGAGTAGCTGG